GATACGATGGAGACGTATCAGCGTGTCGACCGGGCCGACGGAGGAGCGCCCGCCATCGGAGTCAGCGGCACGATCTGGCGGTCGAGGTAGAAGATTCCGACGCAGCCCTACCTGGCGCGCCAAATGTCAGATTAAGGGATCCGCAAACCCTTGAGAGGTTGGAACTCTGGGGTCGTGCGGAGATCTCAACCTATCCAGCCTGCCTACTCGCGATCCTCCTAAGCCTATCACAACAAGCTCAAAGAGACAAAGAGACACAGCAGTTTATCCTTGTTCGGGCCACCTTGCGGTGTAATACCCTACTCCAACGTTTTGGTGGATTGCCTCGGAGGGCTAAGGATGAACTAGTGCAGTGGATGAAATGGCCTCAGGAGGCGAGGTGTTCTTGAGCTGGTGTGGTGTGTGCTAGTTTGACTTGTCTTCCCCGTTCTATGGTGGTGGCTAGTCCTATTTATAGGGCCTTGGTCCTCTTCCCAAATGTTGGCGGGAAGGGATCCCACAACGACCGGATTTGAAATGGGACAAGTAGTACAGCTTATCCTGACAAAAGTAGTTTTAGCCTGCGAAAAGCCTCTGATCGTGACACTGCGGTGGGCTCGTCGATGACCTCTGTCCTGCCGTCCTGACGGTCTTGGTCTCGTTGCACCAAAATGGAAACATTTGGCTGATTCCTCAGAACTCCACACCTGTAGCTTGCCTCCTTTGCACCGAAGAGGAAACCTGCGCTCTGCGCCCGCCTGACGCTCGCCTGGCCTTGGTCGTCATGACTTACGTCAGCTGAGCCTCATGAGGTAAACCTTGCATAGAAATCTCCGCCCCTCGGGAGCCAGCCTGGTAAGGCCGATCCCGTCGGGGGTCTTGGTACCGTCCGCCTCGCGAGGCTTGACCTCTCGCGAGGGTCTTGAGTTGTTGATGTTGAAGCTAGGCCGTACCAGGCCGTCGATGGAGCCACGTGATGGGCCGCAGGCAGGCAGGGCTGGATATCCCCATATCCAGGACGCTGACAGGAAAGTTGAGAGAATTACTACTAATGAAAGAATTACTACAAACTGCACAACCTTGTGCTGTGTACTATACTGCACAACCATGTATTGTATACTACAAACTACTACAAGTTTTCTGAATTTATAGCCGCACTTGCTTGTGTGTGTGTGTATGTGTGTGGGATCAGAATGCATGAAATATGTAAAAATCATGGGCAATTTGTTCAGGTCGTACACGCATGTGCAAGCAAATAAATATTGTGACCTAAACTGAAGTTGAACCTGTACACGCATGGACATTTTAGAACCCTCAACCTGAACATGAACATTTTACTGCTTAACTATACGTACGGACGAAGTTGAACCTGAAAATTCGGTTAGCAGCGGACTAAACTGAACCTGAATTACCTACGGCATGCGGTGGCTGCGGATTCACACATAAATCACGGGGAAGATTAGGCGGACAACCATCCTTCGGCGCCGCACGACCATCATCCCTCGCATCCGCGGCGGCTTGACCTTCGCCCATCGCGACGGCTCCCGCCTCGATCTCCAATGGACGCGGTGCGAGGCCCTTCCCCCCTCCCCTATGCGGCGGTGCCTCTCTCTCTCTCTCTCTCTCTCTGTCTCTCTCTCTCTCTCTCTCTCTCGGCGGCATGACGCGGCTCAACTCCCTCTCTCTCCTCGGTGAGCTCGCCGCCAAACCCTCGCCTCTGTCGAGCGGCACGGGAGAACTGATCCCGCTCGCGCGCAAAAACGCCTCGGCCCGCCTCTATCTCTCCTGAAAACCAGCAAGTCTGGTGCGTTTTGCTTTCAGTCAATGCTGTGCGGCGGATGAAAAACGAGTGGCAGATATGGTAGGCTAAGGCGCTATGTGCCTTTGCTCTACAAAGACACTAAAGCTGAGTCCGCAAACTCCACATGCATATTGGCACCACCACCACATCCACCGGATGCGCTCAAGTTGCATTGCTCGGACTTGGCTCCAAAAAAACTGCCAATTCGTGGGTTCCTCAAGTATCATGTCATATGTCGGCCCAATAATGAAACAATTTTGCATTCAACCAATCACGAAAGTTGCATCCAACAGGACTGCTGGTTGGGTTTGATGAAGTCTACCAAACACATTTAGACCCCTCCCAATGCTCCACTTTATACAGGTGCTAAGGCTGCCATGTAAGCAAAAAGTCTAATGTGGCAAGGTAATTAAGAGGAGAGAGATGAGTGTGATGACCCCAGAAAAAAACAATGCCAAGCACAAGAACCTAGGCAAAACACTTAAATGAAAGAATTCCACCAATGCATGAAGAACTTTAGTTGCAAAACCATTAAATGAAGGATGCTTATCACCAACAAGTTAAGCATATATGCATTGAAGGCTTTAGTTGCTAAAGTTTTTAATGTGCTTAGCACCTCATGTAGGCATCAATGCATTGAAAGTAGCCCTAGGGAAATACTCCCTCCATTTCATAACATAGTGCGTCCACGTTTTTCAAGATTCAACTTTGACCATAAGTTAGACCAATAATACATAAATAATTTTACTGAAAAGCTATACCATTGAATACTTCTTCGAATACGAATTCAAAGGTATCTGTCATGCTCCCACCGCAGTCGACCATGTTGATTAAATTTTATTCTTTTCGAAATGGCAGTTATCCTGCATTCATTAAGAAGAAAAGAATTGTTCAGTTAATTAGAAGAAAACCGAGCGAAAACTAGATTGCCCGATTGATTATGAAAAACCGAGCGAAAACCATCACAACCGCTGAGCAGTACACACAACATACCCCACACACCAGTCTAATGAGTACCTCACCAAGACTTGTCAAAGTTAAATCTCGAAAAACGTCAACGCATTATCAAGGGAGTATCTACCACCGAGGTATAGGCCCTGCCTTTGTTTAAAGATGATCCTCTAATACTGCCTCGGGACGTGCATGTTCGCCTAATACAATACAATGCAGGAATCTAACATCTGAAAACGGGGCAGGAATCTGGCCCAGGTCAGAACTGCGGTGGTGTTGCCGTTGTTGTTGTGTCGCGCCAACAACATTTGACAAAAAGAGTTTGTAGAGAGCACTGCAAAGTACCCTCCAAAGGACAATTTTCATGTTTTGACCCTTTCCTTGTAGTTTATCCAGATCTGACCCCGTTGAACAAATTTTGAAATCTGACTCTTCTTCCTACCGCCACGAGGCCCGGCGGTAGGATTACCTAGCCTACCGCCAAAACCTACGGCGATAGGAAACTTATCCACGCCAGCAACGTTAACGGCCTCCATCCCACCCTACCACCGCTGATCCTGGCGCTAGGTTGTCTGAACCTACCGGCAGGGTCCCTAACGGTAGGATTGTGCCTTTCAATTATGTTCTCAATGAATAATGAAACTATGTGCCTCTTGTAATGCCTTGTGCCTTTCAATTATGTTCTCAATGAATATGAAACTATGTGTTGTCAAATTTAGCTTTTTCACAAGTTTTTCTGTCAAATTTAGTTTGAACATTAAGTTAACTTCATGCCAATTGTTCTTGTCTATATGAGTATACTTTCATGTGGAAAAAAAAAACACAGTTTCTTTAACAACAACTACTTCAAAATACAAGTTGTGCAAAACATGCACTATGATGGGATCCTACCGCCAGGAATGCTGGCGGTAGGTCTGTACAACCCACCGCCGTTGGCTCCGACGGTAGGTTGTTTGCCAGGTCAGCTCCTGGCCGTTTGTGTGACGGCGGTTGCCGTTTCCCCACCGCCAAAGGTCCTGGCGATAGGCTAGGCAAGCCTACCGCCGTAGAGTGCGGCGGTAGCAAAAGGGTCAAATGTCAAAAAAAATTCAAACAGGGGCCAGATCCCGGATTTACCACAAAAGGGTCTGAACACGAAGTTTTGCCCCCTCCAAATGGGGATCGACCAACTACCAAGGTCAGGCTCCGGTGAATATGCGTAGTTCCAAGTTCAACAACTGGCACCTTAATTATTCGGTGCCTCCGAATCCACCTTTTTCCGGATATTATTTGCACCAGTTGAGATAGAAAGAGAGCACTGCAACCTCGCAAGCGAATAACCAACATCTGGAATGTACTTCTGCCAACAGGACAATAGGTACAGAATAACGAGGGAGCGACAAGGAGACTGGCAAAGTGATTCCAGACTACTACTGTGCCATACAAACAAGGGCATGCCCCCACTGCTCTTGTTAGAAACCTCTGTGCTGTTCTTCAGAAGCATCTCCCCACCGCTCTTTCAGACACTTTGGCAGCCAATGCCCCTTGCGGCTGTTACCATACACCTAAAAGACAGCATTGGGGGTTGGCAATCAGATCATAATATACTGTACTTTCAAACATTATACTCCCTCCGTCCCAAAATGTAAGACGTTTTTTCACACTGGTAGTATGGAAAAATGTCTTACATTTTGAGACGGAGGGAGTAACAGTTAGCTATGCCCTGTATCTTTATGTATTTACAGCAGCAACTTAAGTCCTAATGGAACATGGACAATGTAACCGCACGAGTGCCATTTCAGGGAATATGCAACTGTAACTCCTAATGACAAGAACAAGAAATTTACAATATTAGCCTTCCTTACTGAGTTGAATATCCGCATAAATTCATGAACGGTACAACTGAACGAAGCCAAGCCAGAGAAATATGGTATTAACAAGCATCCGTACTGGAGCGAATGTAGAGTAATGGAACAGAGAGAGTAGCGGCAAAATTACAAAAAGGTTATTTTCCACACGTAAACAGTGAACTGAGTGTTAGTTAAGTCAGTATAGCGGAGAACTAGAGAACAAGTACAGGTTCTGATAGTGGCACTGAGGGAGCACGAACAAGCCAACCATAGTTCATTAAATGGAACAGCCGGGTGGAGAAATCACATTTGTCCAAAAGAAGTTAAGAAAGAAAATGACAACCGAATCTAATTCGGGAAACATCTTGCTAGAGGTCAGTTGAACAAAACTCTTCTATCCCATTGAGTTCAAGCCAAGTGTCATGCCCAACTGTCGGCTATTATAAAAATAAACACCAACTCAATAAGTCGGCTCTCCAGCCAACCGTGGCGACAGGTGAAGGACACCAATGGCTCTCCAGCCAACGCGGCCATGCAAGCCTGCCCCTGGGGTGAGCATGGGATCTGTCCAACACGGGCTCCCCAGCATCCATCGGATACGTCGGTCCCGGAGCTCGCTGCTCCAGGGCAAGAGGAAGATGAACAGGTACTGCCTGCAACAGCACAGAGCAAGGTGCAGAGCAAACGTGGACCTCTGGCCGTGTTGTTGTGGGGCTGGGCGGGTGCCAACAGGCCGTGTAGCACAGGCTGGGAGGGAGGCTGTGTAGAGGGAGAGGCAGGGTTGGGTGATGCGTCCGAGGAGGCAACCGGCACCTTGGACATCCCGTGCGAGGGGCTGGGCGCCGTGGTGACGGACAGCCAAAGTAGAAGGAGGCGTTGTGGCTCCCCAATTGTGCGTGCATGGAAGTGTTGGACAAAGGAACTGCTATGCCGAGGATGTGTGGTGATGCTTACACACTGAAATTACTAGCTACTATTTGTGATTAGGCAATTTTTGGTTGTGCGTGCGCTCCAGCTGCTTATAGAGAACAGAGAATGCAGCTATATTGATGTGAATTTTTGCTTCTTGCAGTTGTTAATGCACTGATATTTTAAGCTTTTTGGATATTTCAGACATATATTCAGTTCACACATGGCTGAGGCAATGACGCGGTATTTAAGGTGAGATTTCCACTTCATTCAAATTCCTTCTCTCACAATATGATGCGCAGATGGACTTAATTTGGAAGGTGTGAAATGGTCGGCACAAGATGGTGCCATTGTGGCCTGGGTTCACTTCTTAAATACAAGGTGCATGTGTTACCTTGAGAAAATGCATGGTAGTTTTGGGTGTTGTTTTCTCGCTCCTGATTGTAGTCAATCCTTACGAGGGATGGTATATGGACCAGGGTGGCGGCCCTCACGTCCAACTGAACAAGATTATTTTTAAAGTTTTTAGCCATTACCTTGCACAGGTTCGGTTCAATGACAGGTGTGTTGTGCGGTGGCCGAGCTCACTGCCTTAGGATTGACCATGTTCGGACATATTGTGATCCTGGGACAGCGCAACCATCATCGACAAGGGTGGGAAAAAGGTTAAGCGGTGACACAGGTGCAAACCCGTCTATAGAGGACATGGGTCTATGGAGGTCATTAGCCATGTTTACCGGACTAGTGGCATGTGATACTCTTTTCTCCGTTGCAACGCACGGGCATATTTGCTAGTACTAATAGTAATATGTGATCCAGGGCATACAAGAAGTCAATAACAACCAGAGCAAATAATCCAATAAAGTATTTCAAGACAAACTTGGTACAACAGAAAACCAGAGGAATTAGCCAACTAAAAAGCACAATTTTTCCCCTTGCAATCAAAGTGCTCGTATAATTTGGTGTGGTGAACCAGGATCCTGATATGCAGCTAATCTCACCACATTTTACTATTTACACAGCACAACTATAATCATTTTTTTCTCAAAATTTTGTACATGGATATAAGTTAATACTTTGTGGAAACATGAATATTTTGAGAAAATTTAAAAAATGTATAGTTTCGGAGATCAAGAACGAGTGCATATGGACACAGACTAATATTATACTTCCCCTAAACTCACCCCAAATAAATAACTTTTCTAACTGTCAGTTGCCTGATTTTTTTCTTAAATCTCAAGTCACCTGAAATTGCACATTAGTAATACTAAAATTGCATGCCATACAAAAACTAGGTACTTGAGTTCAACCACAAAAATCAAGTCTATGCTTATATTGTTGGCGTAATTGTTAACCTGAAGGACATATTACCATATTTATTTCTTCTTGCACCAGTTTATTTCAGATACTATAAGTTTCAATTGTACCCCAAAAAAAAGGCAGGAAGATAAAGCTCTTACCCCAAACAGAACTTGCAACACAGGCTATTGCCCAGCTGCTGCCCGTCCAGGCCAGACTGTGCCACCAGCAGGCACGCCATCATCTTTGAGCTCCTCCATCCACTCCTTGAAGAACTCCGGATCAAAACCACCTTCACCGCCATCTTCCTGCTCTTCGATTCCTCCTTCATCCATTATATCAAGGGGTGCCTCTGTAGTCGTTGTCACTGCATCCTTGTTCGGAGGGGACATGGCTGGCATATGGCCTTCAAAGAGGGCGAGATGGCCGAACAGCTTGTCCTTGCGGGAGAAGGTGGTGCCGCAGGAGCAGCGCCACTGTGCCTCCTCACCGCAGTGGCGGAGGTGGCCGCGGAGATCGGCAAGAACAGCAAAACGCTTCTTGCCACCGCAGCGCTCACACGCGTAGAGTTTGGGGCAGTGGCTGCGGCGGAAGTGGTTGCGCGCGCACACCGCTGACTTGAGCGGCCGGAAGCGGCGGTGCGCACGGTTCCGGTTGCACCCCGTGAAAGGACAGGAAAAGCGCACATCGCGGCCATCAACTGGCTTTGCCTGACCGGGCCGGGAGAGCGCGTCCAGGGTCTTGAATCGGTCGCCGTGCGCGCGCATGTGCATCCTGAGGTTGGCGTCGCGGCGGAAGCCCTTGCCGCAGATATTGCAGAAGTGGGCATGCTCCGCGAGCAGCTCGTCGGCATCGAGCTCCACGACATCGTAGCCCTTGGTAGCTTCTTGGGGAAGCACATCGGCGGTGGAGGCCGCTGCGGGAAGCTCTTGTATAGGAGCGGGAGGGGCGGGAGTGGCAGATGGGGCGGGAAAAGGGAGGGACGAAGAAAGGAGGGAGGCGGCGTTGAGGACGACGAGGTGAGCGGCAGATGAGATCTCGGAGGACACGGACTGAATATCCGAGGAGGAGAGGGGCTGCGATTCCCCAGAAATGGAGGCGACGAGGAGGCGCCGGACAGCAGCCATGCGATCGCCGAGGGCCGCCAGCCGTTGGAGAGCGGCGCTGGGGTCCCCATCTCCTCCTCCAGCTCCGGCGCCGATAAGGGCGTCAGCGAGCATGGCCGGCAGCGGTGCCGTGTTCGCCGATGACGCGCCAGCGGCGGCGGCGGCGCCGGCGAATTGGTTGGTGGTCGAGTCCATTCAGTGAATAAACGGTGGTGCCCAACTTCGATTAGCCCGACGACCTCGCTAGATGATTTCGAGGTCTGCGATTCTTCTTGCTTACAGGCCCATTCAATGGGAGTGTTTGGTTGCACCTTTTTTTTTTTTGCTTCCTGCATTTTCTTCCGATAACTTTTGACTCTTTTTATTGTCAGTTTGATAACTTTTGACTTTTTTTTTCACAGTTTGATTATTTAAACATAGCTTTTTTTTAAAAAAAAAGGGGTGCAACCCCAGCCTCTGCATCAATAAGATGCATACGGCTCATAATATTAAAATAGAGAGTGTCACAAAGTCTTCAGCAGGTTTAAAGTAAAAAAGACGACAAGCCGCTCAGACGAGCGTAAACATAAAGCCATAACCGGCTGGCAAAAAATAGGAGCACTACATGCCTATCCTATTACATGACCGCCATCCAAACCGGTTGAAAATAACCCGAGCTACCATCTCCCATCGGGTAGACGCAGTAGCCAAATGCCCCCTGTCCTCCATCGGAGTGAGTAGCGACCACATACGGATCAACGCTGTGGCCCTGAAGATAACCTGCAAAAAATGAAAGTTTGTTGCTCTGTTAAAAACCAAATCATTTCTGCAGTTCCATACTGCCCATAACAAGGCACACGCGCCAACACGAATGAGTCTTGCTAAAACCAAGTCTACCCCATCAAGCCATGTTCCAAACAACATATTGATAGAAGTAGGTGGAATAATATTGAAGGCAATATGAATCGAACGCCAAAGAAGCTTAGCCAGTGGACAATCCAGAAAGAGGTGCCTGATAGTTTCATTACAATCGCAGAAACTACATCTAGCAGAACCCACCCAATTGCGTTTTGCCAGATTATCCTTTGTCAAAATTACTTTTTTATGCACAAACCACATAAACACTTTAATTCGCAAAGGTACCTTAACTTTCCAGACATGTCTGGAGCAAGGAATGACACTAGTATTAATGACATCCAGATACATGGATTTAACCGAGAACCTACCGTCCTTTGTCAATTTCCAAAACAACCTATCTGGATCCTGAGACAGTTGGACATCCATCAGCCGTCGTACAAGATGAAGCCATGCCTCCCATCGTTCACCCACTAGTGTCCTCCGGAAGCTAATATTGAGAGGCGTTGACTGTAAGACATTTGCAACGTATACTTCTCGACGTTGAACAATGTTATACAGTGTGGGATATTGACGTGCCAGAGGTGTTTCTCCTAGCCACGTATCCTCCCAGAACCTCGTAGTAGCTCCATCACCAACTAAGATTTTTGTCCTGTTAAAGAAGAGGGGCTTGACTCTCATCAACCCTTTCCAAAACGGTGAATCAGTTGAGCGCACCGTCACCTGAGCTAAAGTTTTTGACTGAAGATACTTATTACGCAGAATTTGTGCCCAAGTAGCCTCTGTCTCGGATGAAAGTTTAAAAAGCCACTTGCTAAGGAGACATCTATTCTTGATCTCTAGATTTTCAATGCCTAGACCGCCTTGGTCCTTGGGCCTACAGATGATGTCCCATTTGGCAAGCCTATACTTACGTTTCAACTCATCGTTTTGCCAAAAAAACCGGGATCGATAAAAGTCTAATCTCTTCCTAACCCCCACCGGGATCTCAAAGAAGGATAGAAGAAACATAGGCATACTTGTGAGAACCGAATTAATCAAAATTAATCGACCTCCATATGACATGAGCTTCCCTTTCCAACAGCTTAGTTTCTTTTCAAAACGATCCTCAATACACTTCCACTCCTTGTTCGTAAGCTTACGATGATGAATGGGAATGCCCAAGTAAGTAAACGGTAGTGAACCCAACTCGCATCCGAACAATTGCTTATACGCCACCTGGTCCTCAGTAGCTCTTCCAAAGCAAAACAATTCGCTCTTGTGGAAGTTAATCTTGAGTCCAGACAATTGTTCAAATAAGCACAGCACAAGCTTCATATTCCTAGCTTTCACCAAGTCATGCTCCATAAAGATGATCGTATCATCAGCATACTGCAAAATGTATATACCTCCATCAACTAGGTGCGGAACCAAGCCCGAAACCTGCCCCGCCTCCTTGGCCCGGCCTATTAAAATAGATAGCATATCAGCTACTATGTTAAATAAGATCGGTGACATTGGATCCCCCTGTCTTAGGCCTTTATGTGTCTGGAAATAGTGACCTATATCGTCATTCACTTTAATCCCTACACTCCCTTTTTGCGTAAAGGAATCAATTTGGTCGCGCCATGCCTTGTCGAATCCTTTCATACGCAACGCCTGATGAAGGAAAGGCCATTTGACTTTATCGTATGCTTTTTCGAAATCCACTTTAAAAACCACCCCATCAAGTTTTTTTGAGTGAATTTCGTGGAGCGTTTCATGCAAGACGACCACCCCTTCAAGGATATTTCTATCCGGCATGAAAGCAGTCTGGGACGGTTGCACCACCGTATGCGCTATCTGCGTGAGTCGGTTCGTCCCAACCTTAGTGAAAATTTTGAAACTTACATTAAGCAAGCAAATGGGTCTGAACTGCTCAATGCGAATAGCCTCTGTCTTCTTAGGAAGAAGAGTTATTGTTCCAAAATTAAGCTTGAATAAATGAAGCTGACCATTAAACAATTCATGAAACATGAGCAACAGGTCATGTTTAATGAAATGCCAGCACTTTTTGTAGAACTCCGCCGGAAACCCATCTGGTCCTGGCGCTTTATTATTATTCATTTGTGCAATGGCCTCATACACCTCCTTCTCCGTGAAAGGGGCAGTCAAAATCTCATTCTCTTCCGTCTGAAGTTGGGGAACATCCTCAACTCTTGACTCATCCAAAGACACAAAACTCCGTTCCGGAGGTCCAAATAACTGCTTATAGTAGTTGGTAATGTAAACTTTCAGGTTTTCCTGACCAACTATCGTTCCTTCATCTTGTTCTAATTGAAAAATTCTCTTCTTACGATGCTTTCCGTTAGCAATCATATGAAAGAATTGGGTATTATCCTCACCTTGGACAACCTTGCGAACCTTAGCTCTGAGAGCCCACTTCAATTCCTCCTCACGGAGAAGCGCTTTCAGCCTTAGCTCGGCCTCCAATTTAGACTCCAACTCTCTGGTATCTAAAAGAGAGGTTTCAGCTTTTAACTCTAGGGTGTGAATCATCATAAGGAGCCTTTCCTTCTCCGCCTTATAAATTCCGTTCGTATGCTTAGCCCATCCACGAAGGAACCTTCGCAGATGACGAATCTTGCATTGTCACCGCTCCATGGGTGACCTTCCCCCCGAGTCTTTAGCCCACTCTCTAGCCAACAGATCGATAAATCCTTCTCTTTCAAACCAAGCAAGTTCGAAAGAGAAAATATTCTTATTACCCAAATGAGTTGGGGCCCCTGAGTCCACTAATAGCGGTGTGTGATCCGAGATACCTCGTGTCAACGCCTGCACCGTTACCTGAGGAAACTTCTGTTCCCACTCAACACTTGCCAGAACACGGTCCAACTTCTCAAACGTCGGAACCGGTAATGAGTTTGCCCAAGTGAATTTCCTACCCGAAAGCTCTATCTCTCTGAGGTCCAAGCTCTCTATGATAGTATTGAACATAAAGGACCATCTGCCGTCAAAGTTGTCATTATTCTTTTCTTCCTTTCTTCGAATAATGTTAAAGTCACCTCCCACTAAGACAGGTAGTTGCTCATTCCCGCAAACTCGGACTAAGTCCGCCAGGAAATCTGGTTTAAGTTCGGGTTGCGCAGCCCCATAGACTGCCACCAAAGCCCAATCAAAACCATCAGCTTTCGTTCTTACCCTAAACTTAACCGCAAATTCACCCATCACTACACTCCGAACCTCCAACGTATCGCACTTAACCCCGAGTAGAACCCCACCGGATCTTCCTCGAGGTGGGAGACAATGCCAATCAAAGTCTACCCCCCTGCTAAGGTGCTAAGAAACTGTGCTAAAAAATTACCTCGTCCAGTTTCGGACAAAGCAATAAAGTCTAAGTGATGTTCAATAGAAGCTTCTGCTAGAAAACGTCTTTTAGCCAAGTCTTTAAGACCTCTACTGTTCCAAAAAATGCCTTTCATAATTCATCATGAAATTTTTTGGAGGTACGGATCCTAGCACTTCTACGCACAGCCGACACCGGATAAACCTTACGTTTCCAGGTCCTCTTAGGCTTAACCCCACCATCAATAGATTCAACACACTCGGAAAGAGGCTCTACGGCCACAGGCACCACCTCTAGGTTTGTGGTTACCGGAGAGGTATACTCATCCTCCTCCTCCGTCACCTGGACCGCAGGATCAAGATCAGCACACAAGCTATCAAGAACCCTAACCCCTAGCTTGTCAATCTCCGACTCATTCATCGGTTTTACTGCAGCTATGTTACGAATCAATTCTAACGCACGTTCAGCTTCCAAGTCTAGCATCTCATTAACCGATTTAGAGATCTCTAGATCATCGTTACCAAGAGACACTCCTATTTGGTTTGCATTATGAACAATCTCTTCATTGGTAAAATGCATAATAGAATTAGACTTATTAACTGACATACCAGTTGTAGTCTCGACGTCCCGCAGCTTGGCCGCTCTCAACGCGCACCTCAGCTGCATGCCACAAAGCCATGAAGATGCACATGGTGAAGCCTCAGAGGCGAGGACTATGAAGAACACGAAGCTCCGAATCTGTGATCCTGAGATCGGAAGATTTGTAGATGAAGATGCATGTGGTGAAGCCTCAGAGGTGAGGACTATGAAGAACACGAAGCTCCGAATCTGTGATCCTGAGATCGGAAGATTTGTAGACTTGAGATCATGCCCCTAGAGGCTGTACACTTGACGAACCCAAAGATTCTGAAGCCGGGCCCAAAGGTGCACGTCGTCTACCACCGATACAAAAGGAGCCTGCTTGGGTTTCATTCTAAAAAACGCAAGACATTAATTATCTCTAATTAAAGAATCTGTGGATCACTAATATTGATAAACTATATAACATTATACGTGT